GGGGGGGGTTGCAGGGGAGTGAAATCGAGAGTTAAAATCTGACTTTTCCCATGTTTGGCTTCGGCCCAGTCGCGGCAGGTGTCGGAAAACACGCATGCCGTTGCACGAGAAACACGCGAAAATTAAGTTTGCGTGATGTTTGCAGCCAAAAAGGTTTCGTAAACATACAAAGAAGAATAGTTTGCACGCACGGTCACGCGGAGTAGTTGAGCGGGCCGAACTGAAAGGCCGACGGGGAATCTCGCTGTATCCTTACTTAGGTAACGGTGACCTGTGTGTTGTTCACCTTACTTTTCGGTGTGGTATAGAGATGAGCGAACAGGCCAGCTCGAATTTGAGCAAACTCGAACAAATTTGGTCTAAAAATCTTCGAACGAACACGAACAAACAGCCTTATTTTTCTCCAATGTAATATTCAAATTCGATCCGATTCCGAACAATTAATACAATTTGTGTTTTTGCTTACGAGTTAAAATAACTATTCACGCTGGTTTTCAATAGTTACATTAACATTTAAAATTGTAATTATGTGTTAACCTGCCATTGCCCCCTTAATTACACCCAAATATGACTCGTCTTTCTGAAACACACCTCAATTTTTTTCGCCCACGACGAACTTCTGTTCGAGTAGTACTCAAACATTTCGAGTCCAAACACCTCATGTTCGTGTTCGAGCGAACACGAACAGCTCGATGTTCGTTCGAGTTCGTTCGAATGCGAACATATTCGCTCACCTCTAGTGTGGTGTGAGGCATGGAGAGCAGGTTTTCAGTGTGCTTTGTCAAAACGATCAAAACGACTGTGGCCCAAAGTCGTTTTACTGTAAGGCATAAATATGAACAACACTCATCACATCCCTATTAGTTATGCTGTGTCGAGTTAGGGATTCCCCGCCCAGAGCAGCGTACGCTCACGCTGGCGGGGGCCAGCCGTAGGCTCCATGAGATACGGCAATCATGCCGATATCGAAATGATCAAAGTTGAGTCGAAACGATGTCGTTCCGATATCGCTTTGACGGCCTTATCTCATTGTGAGGAAAGGCGTTGCGCCGGCACTGATGAAAATGAACTGATAAAAATGTTGAAAATTCTCTCTCGATTACAAAAAATTGCTCAGGGTGCACCATGAAATATGGTCGAGGCAACAACGGCACGGTAATGGAAACCATATTTTTGGTTGTCACAACCCGCTAATGTTGCATCCAGCCATATTTTATAGTGCTCCCTGAATTAACTATACGTTGTTCGCTATAGCTAATCATTCTTCTGGGTCTTGAGCGAGCCGTACAGTTGTTACAGTGACTACATCCCCGTTTAGGATCGCTACTACTGCAAGTTCATGAGGACCTGCAGGAACTGGAACCACGACTTGAGCGCGCTTCCGCAAGCTTTCCTGTCCAGGTGCCCGATGCCCCAGCCTCTGAGGTCACCGCCGTGGCCCTGGGACAGCTGCACCATGCCGAGGCGCATCTTCCTGATCTGCACCGTCTCCTCCAGCCAGGGGCCGGCGCCCGCCCGGTCGGCGAAGCGCAGACGGGCGTATGTCATGGCGTCGCCCACCAGGCAGAACGGAACGAACACGAACAGCACCAGCGGTGCCATCCCAACGGCGAACATATCCGCTTCCAGGCCGTTCAGCACCACCTGTACACGAAGGTTCAGTTTGTCAGTAGAGACAACCAGGTTGTTTCAGCCTTCAGGTGGTTACAATCCGTTTGATAATTGCATCCTGGTTGTTTCAGCCCGCTCTAGTGATTGCAATCTAGTTGTTTCAACACCCTCTCATGATTGCAACCTAGTTGTTTCAAACACCTTTTCGTCATTGCAAACTGGTAGTTCTAGCCACCTCTATGGCAATCTCGTTGTTTCAGCCAGCTCTAATAATTGCACTCTGTTTCGACCACAGCCAATGATTTCCAATAGGTGCCAGATTGTTTGAACCTCCGCGGATGATTGCAATCACGTTTCAACCCCCAGGTTGCAACTACCTGGTGGCATCTTGCCAGCACTCACCTCCACGGTGCTGAGCAGCGGGACCACGACGCTCACGATGAGGACCTGGGAGAGCAGGTCGGCCACGGACGCCTCCATGTTGAGGGAGGCCTGCGTGAGGACGCTCTGCTGGTGCGCCAACAGCGTGTTGCAGGGCCTCGTCTCCACATGAAAACCAGCCAGCGAATATTAACGCGATATTAAATGGACGTGATTGTCGAATATGTTAGAAATGGTTCAACCTTTTGTGACATTTTTGTTATGTCGATAACGGCTAATATCGTTTCTATCTTAGTGCTTAGCTGGAACACCTCTTGCCCTGTCTGATGGTACCTGGAGGGCCTCGCCTATGGCCTCGTACATGTTCGCCATGGAGAGGTAGATGACCAGGATGAGGACGACCGACGTGTAGTCGGCCAGAACGGCGCTGACCCCCGAGTACAACCGGAGCGCCAGAGAGGCCCAAAGCAGTATAGTCGTTGCGACTTGATGGTGCGCTGTAAATAAAGCTATTTTGTATTTTCTGTTTTTGTTTCTTTGTATATTTTTCGCGCTTGCAGTGAATACGAAAACGGCTCGAATAGATCATTGGACTTTTATTAAAGTCAAAATGAAGCAGGTTTTAGCTGAGGATTTTCTGACTATTTCGTGACTAATTGAATAGGTAAATGGCTTGTTTTGCTCGCTCACTGCCAATCAGCAGCTCCAGCCCGGCCGCCGCGGAGTCCTGCCAGTGGACGATCAGCGCCACGAAGACCGTAACCTCTGTCAGCCATGCGTACGCCTCGTAGAAGCGCACCAGCTTGGCGCAGCGCCGGGCGGTGGCGGCCATGTGCGTCTACAGGGGGAAATTGGAACATCTCATGCCCTTTCAAATGTTTACATTTTCCTCACAGCGAAAAAGATTATTGTATATTTTCTCACTCTGATAAATCAAGTGTTGGACCACTTAACACTAGTAAATGTGCAACTGCGACTTGAATACTTGCAAGTGTTCAACTACAGTTGTGCGATTGTCAGTGTTTAACTCGGTAAATGTAGGCCACACTTGCAAGTATTCGACTCGGTAGCTGTGCACTTCAAAGTGTTGAACACAACCTTTCACTTGACGCAGACAGTGTTTGACTGCGAGGAATTGTACACTTACGAGTGTTTAGCGGTTAAAACACAATTGATTTACCTGTGTACACTGGCGGAATGCAGTTAGTTTACCTTAGTCTTTGCCTGTGCGTGGGTGTCCAGTGTAGCGCTCAGTTGAACGAGCTGGCTGAGGCACGCCTAGTAAAAGCACCCATCCACACAAAAAATCCCTTTTAGTTTAGAGGCATACGTTTCACTTCTTATTGCGACTTGCACTTGCAGGTCTGTCTCCCTGCCTTGATGCCGCGTCTCCGGAACTTGAAGATGACGATGACGACGAGGGTCGTGTACAGGGCGAGGGCGATCCGCAAGCCGAACATGCTCCCCGTGACGCTCGCGTCGTAGATCATCTGCACTATGACCGCCACGACAATGACGAGACTCGTCTACGAGGAAACAGGCACAGGGTCGCAGGAAGAAAAACTTTGTGATCATCTCGCTACCGGTATACCTCAATTAGTAATCTTACTCACAGTGCTTTGCCGTAAAAGCGCCAATAGATGGTTCGTCTTTCCCGGGAGCTCGCCTGCGGACAAAACTCGCACCCACCATCGCAGGTGTTGGGTGAGCGGGCCTTCGTCGTGGTCGGCGACATCGCAAATGTAGAGGTCGGCCCGCAACAGCTGCAACGTTCTGCTCGCGAGACCCTGAGCGACCGGTAGCTGGGGCATCTGTCTGCTCAGCGGATGCAAAACTTCCTCTTGGAACGATATGTCTGCATATTTACGACACGCTTTCATCTCATTCGATTATCGATGTCGTAAATTTGTGAAACTATTCTATATATAGTAA